GGTAAACTACCCCGGCTACACTAACCCCTTTGAATTATGCTGATTTTTATTCAAAACACGGCCGGGCGCTTTATCCGAAATGTCAACGCTCGAAACGAGAGGAATGCTAATCGCGGTTTACGTTAATTAATGCGCGTTAATTCCGCCTAAACCGGCGAGCAGGCGCCGCCCCCCCCCCCCCCCGAGGGATCTCTTCTATTATAGAAATTCTTTTTGCTGGAAGTAGAAGAGAACGCGAGCCAGAAAGAGATTCTAGTCCGCTAGAATCGAAAGTATCCCGTCCATCGCTCGCTCCCGTTGTATCCCGCTGAAAAAGAAGATGCCCGTTGAAAATATACCTTACAGTTTCATACCGTACAACATTTGCGATATCAACGTTAGCATACGTAAAATATTAACGTTAATATTTGACATATTACATGTTTATCAATTATTAAATCTAACTAACGGTTCCCGTTCCCGTATTTTTTGAAAGCATTTTTTTCATTTCAAAATTAAAAGTGCACGGATTATTAGAGTGAAAAGAGTTATTTTTATAACAGGTAAAATATCATTGACACACACGAGCACTGTGCGTGTGTTATATATAATACATTGATGGAGATTTTTTTTCCGACGCGCGCGAGAATATAACAGGAAAAGCGCAACAGTTTTAGCGAACTATTTTATCGCCAACATCTCAATAAAAATATACCAATGTCGCCGTAGGAGCGGCCGTTGGTATCGGTTATCATTTTTATCTCACGAAGGGAACGTCTTGTCGGCGTACGTTAGAGTGCATCGCGCACGAGGGAAGATACCCGGCTCGGAAATTCCAAAAATTGATGAAACTTTGGCAATACACAGAGGACATTCCGTTAACGTGTACAACTTTTTTGCCGCTATTTTCTTGCTGCTCCGAGAATCGGTCCGAAAGAATTAAAATCAATCCTTAGAAATTGCCTCCATTTTCCGTTTTGGTCTTTTTGTCCACCCCCGACAAAAGGAGCCGGGAGACAACTTGTAGAGAACTCTCTTAATGAAATTTATCGATTAGAAAACCGATTGATGGTTTGGAGAATTATGGAAAAATACATAGGGGCGAAAGTGAGGAATAAATTTTAAATATTACATTTGCGACACACGGCTCTTTTGTGATACTTTGTAATACATTATAATTATATAATTACACATTAATACGTGTTTTACTTAACTTTCGTTTACTTGTAAGAAATATATAAAATTACTCTCTGAAAATCAAGCAGTGGATTATATCACTGAAAACAGTGAATAGTCACTGATTTACAGCTCTAAGTACACCACTGCGAGTTTCAGTGGTATATTTGTAACTGCAAATCAATGACTATTCACTGTTTTCAGTGATAATCCACCGATTGACTTTTAGAGAGTATACTAAATATAAGTGCTAGTAAAATGCGTGGTAAAATTTCAAAAACTCACCTAAAATTCTGCGGAATCCCGCGTTGTCCCACGATTACATGATTTTCAGGGTAAATTTGAAGGGAGAATTCTCTCCGTGTACTCTCTAAAAGTCTATCAGTGGTTTATCACTGAAAACAGTTTTAACACCGAATTATTCAGTGCTATACTAATAACTGTGAATCAGTGAATATTCACTGTTTTCAGTGATAATCCACTAATTTACTTTCACAGAGTATGTTAATGTATAAATACTCACAAATGAATAAACATGTGAACGTTACATGAACATATTACAGGTGGATGTGATATAAAAATACTGTACCTACTATATAAATCTGTGTTTTATATAATTTTCTGAAACAAAAACGCAAAGTGCATCAATCTTCAAGGGTTGATTTTATTCCTTCGGGATGATTTCGGGCAACAAAAAGTATCAGGCGTATCGGGATATTCTCTAATTGTTAGAACTCGTTTTGTTTCTGTCTAACGAATGTTAAAATAAAGACGAACGACGCTCACGTTACAAGCGCCAGATGAAATGCACGAGAAGTATCGCTGAAGTTTCGTCATTTTTTTTAACATTTCCGAGCTAGAGATCCTTGTCGGGGAAGTAACGGCGGTGTGACGTGGCGCGTTCTCGCGTTTACGCCGCGGGCGTTATCTTCCATCCGTCTTGCGTCTGTAGCAAGAATTGCACACGCGCTATTTGATAGATTAAACAGCAAGCGGCGCGATACGCCGCCGTTTAGTTTCGTTATCCCGCATCGCTCCTTCATCCCCCGGATAACTTAATGTTATCGTTAACTTTGGCAATTAGCACGTGCGAGCGCGAGAGATGCGTGCGACGTTAATCTTACGCCAAGCCGGAGTTTGCTAGACAAACCGCGTCCACGGACCAATTTGTTCTCCTCGCGTCTGACACTCCAGATACGATCGAATTGTTCCTTTTTTTACAAGAGAACGTATATATTGCTCGAGAAAGGAAAGACGCGTGAGAAATAGTACGAGAACGAGTGGGATTTTGTGTTGCATATTAATATTTGCGATATGTACATACAACTTACATACAATACTCGCATTTTATCTGTTGTTTAACGGTTTTTGTTCCACTAATCCGTTCAATTTTAACGGGAAAGGGGCTTTCAAATATAAATAAATGCCATTTAATTATATTTAACAATAGAAAAATATTAGTATTATTAATAAATTAATACTTCTCTGTTGTTAAATACAACTGATAGCTCAGAGCAGCGGGAACACGCGATAATCGAAGACTTCGGTAATGGAAACGGAGTAGCAACGTGATTACATTCGCGGAGCCAGTTTTAACTGGCCGAAATAATGCAGCAGTTAAATTCGAAACAAGACCTGGTTAATCCGGCGTGATAAACGCCAAGATTCCCGGGATTCTCCGAGTTCATTTCCGCCCCGTCCCGCATTCCTGCGGTCCGATGGCGCGTTTAGGATTAATAATAAAGGAGAGCCACTATCGGGCTCCTCTCTCTCCGAGGAGCCCGGAGTACTTTCCTCTGCGAAAGGAGGGCCGGGGCGTGCGCGCGCGTGGCGTTGCCGCTCCACATCCCGTACGTCGCGGTGTCTTCAATCATTCATGCGATTAGGTCTCGATCGCGCGCTAAACGCAATCCCCGACGCGCCGCCGTTTCTCCGCGATGGCAATGACCGAATCTATAATTCAACCGGAATTCCACTGGAATAAATAAAGGGAGCGAGCGTGTGCGGCCGCGGACGTAGGGAAAAGAGACGGGAAGCTCCGCGTCGCCGGGGAGGGAAAATAGCGAGAGTGACGTAAATGTAGTTTTGCGCAGGAATGCGCTCGTGTACAATTAAATCCGCTGGAATTAAATTATATGTAAAATAACATGGAGCGTGTGTGCACCTGTTTGAGCGTAATTGCAGTATATTACCGTCGCTCGTCTACAGGTATACCGATAAAATCGCGTATAAATTTATCGAAATGCCGCCGCCGCTGCTGCCGCCGCCGCCGCCGTCGTGCAATTATACATGTGTGAATTACAAATAATTAATCTGAAATTTAAATGCGCATTTACGCAGTCTAAATTATTAGCGAAATCGCGGGGTGTATTTGCGCAACGTACGCCGGGCCGTGTTTTGCAGCGGTGTGTTACGATACTAATGCCGATATTGCGCTAACCAAATCGCGCGTGTAAGTTAATGGCGAGCGATAACGCAACGAGCCCGAAACGAGCATTAACCACGATAACGCGCAGTCGTTTCGATATTACAAGTGTGTGCGTGTATTTATTTTTTTTTTTACTCTCTAAAAGTCAATCGGTGGATTTATCACTGGAAACAGTGAATACTCGCTGATTCACAGTATACTCTCTAAAAGTCAATCGGTGGATTATTATTAAAAACAGTGAATATTCACTGATTCACAGTTATTAGTATAACACTGAATAATTCAACTGTTTTTAGTATATACCACTGATAGACTTTTAGAGAGTACACGGGGGGGGGGAGAGTTTTCTCTTCAAATTTACCCCGAAAATCATGTAATCGTGGGACAACGCGGCATTTCGAAGAATTTTAGAAGAGTTTTCCGAAATTTTACCATGCATTTTGCCAGTAATTATTTTTAGTATACTCGCTAAAAGTCTATGTTATAAGGCGTTATAAAGATTAAATAAGATAAAATAAGATAATAAGATAAAGTAATGCCCACCGGGCATTAGTGGGCATTGGTGTACAAGATTTTGGTCAGCGGTTTCCCCCTCGGTGAATTATTACTGAAAACAGTGAATAGTCACTGATTTGCAGTTATTAGTATAGCGCTGAATAATTCAGTGCTAGAACTGTTTTCAGCGATAAACCACTGATAGACTTTTAGAGAGTGTACTAAATATAGTTACTAGTAAAATGCATGATAAAATTTCAGAAGAATCTCCTAAAATTCTTCGAAATGCCGCGTTGCCCCACGATTACGTGATTTTCAGGATAAATTTGAAGAGAAAACAGAACAGTTGCTGATTTGCAGTTGTAAATATATCACTGAAAATTGCAGTGGTGTAAATTTCGAAAAACTCTCATAAAGTTCTTCAAAATGCCGCGTTGTCCCACGATCACATAATTTGAAGAGAAAATCCTCTCCGTGTAGATTTAAACACCCCGCGATCGGCGCAACGTCATTGAACGTACGTATAGTAGGTCCACTCTCTGTCGGCCCTTTGATCCTTTCGGTCCCGATCACGTGGTATTCCGCCATGTCGCCGGTCCAAATCCAACGGCGTATGAGTGTGCACAGTGATGGACAGAATGGTTGCGACACTTTTTTTACGTTGCGTTCCAAAATCTTCCTCTCCGAATAGTTTACTCGACGGCCATTCCAAAACCATTTTGAGCGTTTTCAATCTATTCCTCAAGTGAAATTTTCCTCAGAGAAAATGTCTCGGAACGCAAACCCGAATCTAAACGCGCGTTTCTCAACTCACTAGAAAAAAAGTGTCGGAACCAATCTGCCCATTACTGTACGCACTGTAATTGTATGTGTATCAAAGCTGCACTACCGCACGTACAACTTTTCTCGCTGGACCAACAAAATGTCGGATGCGCAGGAGGGACCGACGCAAAACGAAACAAATGACGGAGCGGACCCGCTAGCTAGTACTGTGGTGATACGAGGCGCGAGGGACCGGGAAAAACGACGGGCGCGGCGAGCACAGGAAATCGACACGCGGCCGCCGATTAGGGCAATCAAGCGGAATTCTCAAGTAGCGCGTAATCGGAAATACCTGAGCTGCGTCGCTGAAATTCAGCCCAAGATTGCAGCTCGACCCCCTCCTCCCTCCCCGCCGTCCCCTCGCCGACCCATTAGCGCTGATTCAGCCGCATGCTGAATACTAGCGGCTTCGCCCGACCCCCGACTGACCCGAATGAATTTATCAGAGCGACTCGGAGAGAGAGGATGTCGCACTTTCTTCCCCCGCCCCCGCGTCCCTCCCTGCCCCCCTGCTCCCGCCCTGTCCACATTCCCGAATTTGTCCGGCTAATTTTGAGCCTACGTCCACGGGGAATCTCGAATTCGGACGCGCGTTTCGTCGATATCCACTTAGGCTCCGAGCCCCGGGACGGACAACGAGGTGTTCCAGGGGCGCCGATTCCCTAAAAGTCGACGGGTAAACCGCTGACCAAAATCTTGTACACCAATGCCTGCTAATGCCCGGTGGGCATTACTTTATCGTATTATCTTATCTTGTTTTGCTCTTGAGGTTCCTTATGACGCCCCAGGAAGGCCGAACAACACCAAACTAATGCCCAAAGAATGCCTGGTGATGCCCGAAATCTGGACACCACAATGCTCTCAGCAGGTTTACTCCTCGCTACAAAACAATCAGTGGATTATCACTGAAAACAGTGAACACTCACAGTTATAAGTACATGCACCCAGTTTCTTCGAAATGAAAAAAATTTTCTTTGAATTTTGACCTCGCTAGACTTTCATTTAATTTCAAAGAAATGGCTGCTTTACCTTAATCAAAATTTTATTTGACGGAGACGAGAATTTCTAAAGGGATTCAGATCTACTTCTTCCAATTTAGCAGATATTTCAGTAGAATTAAATAATATAATTTAGTGTAACTCAGATTTCAAGAAACACGATTTCGACGTACCTCATTTGTTGAACCTAATAGCGAATTCGGTTGCTTGCACTAGTGCGCACTGAGTGCAGACTAAGGGTTGTTTATAGTCAGCTCTTACATTTAACGTTGTCTTAAATACATGTTCAAAGAGCATTTAATAAAAAAAATGATCCGTATAAACGTTATACAGATCATTTTTCTGAATAAGAAATATTGCAAGAGGTATTTAAGATGATCTTTAAATATAAGAATTGACTGGAAACAATAGGTTTGTTTTCTGTTCCTACACTGGTGAACTATTGCAACAAATTAGAGTAAGACAGGAATATATTTTCTCATTCTAGCTTAATGCACTAGTTCACCAGTGCAGGAACAGAAAACAAACCTAAGGCTTAGTGTGCACTCAGTGCGCACTAGTGCGAGCAACCGAATTCGCTATAAATAAATGTTGCTTCCGGGTGTACCGCTGCGATTTTCAGTGGTATACTTACAACTGCGAACTGGCGACTGTTCGCTGCTTTCAGTGATAATCCCACTGATTGACTTTCAGGGGGAGTCGCCGCGCGCGAAACGCACCGTTGGATAATAATAAAACTTGCCGGTGAACGGATAAAATCTTACGCCCGAGCTCATTTCCGGAGTTCTGGGGCTCCGGGGCCGTCGCGCGGTCGGCAGTTTTTAGTAATATTCTCGGATGAACCGGCACGTTCTCGCCGTCGCCGATAACCGGGATTATATTAATTAAGCAATCCCGAAATGGACGAGAGAGCGTGCAAAACACCGCGCCGCTCAATTTCGGAAATGGCCGCGCAGGCTCGCGGCCAAGTCCCCCCGCGCGATTCGGCGATTAACGGCGTTCGCCGAAAGGACGATCGCGAATTAAAAACCGGGGAACAAAACCGCGCGCGATTAACGCGAACCGAGTCGCTCGTCGCCGCTGATGCGCCGCGCTTTCACCGACGCGAGCACATTGGCCTGCGTTCAGAAACATCACCCGAATGCCCCAGCGTGTCATTTTATCCCTGTTTAAGGTGAATCCTGCTCGATTTTTTGCTTCAATCCTTATTATAGTTTCTTTGCAACTGACAAATACATGTCCAAGTGTCAGGTTTTCTACCCTCAGCAGCCAATGGCGATAAGCGAAATGTTAAAAACAGTTAATTTTAAGTGATCATATCTCGGAAACTACACGGTAAATCAGACCCAAATTTTACACACATACGTATTGATATCTAAATTAGTTTTGCTGCAAGTTTAAAGAAAATCTGTAACTTCATCACTTTTGACCTAATTACCTTAAGGTGGCTTCTGTATAAACTGGCCAAGAGTGGAAAAAAAATTGAAATTTAAGTATGTGGTAGTTGTAAATTTTATCTATCGGTACGCGAAATTTCAGATCCGCTCGCCGATGAAATAAAATAAAGAGAAAATATTAAAGTTGTATTTGTTAACGTTCCAGTAAACACCAAGTAACAGTTACATAACATCAATATTATAATTTCCTACTCAACGAGATAAATATATTATAATACCCACATGTTATGTTACATTTACATTGTTAAGTAGGAAATTATAATATTGATATTATGTAACTATTACTTGGTGTTCACTAGAATAGGAGTTATAGGCCGATCGCTCGCAGTTTGAGGCTTAATATTATTTTATAGAAAAAGTAGATCTTAACAAAAATCGAAATGAACACAATAAATGTCGCAAGGCTTCAAATGTGTTATTAAGTATACGAGGTCGCCGACCCCTGCAAGCGAATACTTATTAGTAAAGTCAAAAGATACAGTGTTTTGAGGAAATTTGACAGCTCTTTGAGACTTGACAATGCATTAAGTGATATTTTTTTATGGAAAAAGTCATGAATTTATAAAAATCAAAGGGGCCCCAACAAAGCACCCACTAACCGCTCCTTCGTGCAACAAGGATAGAATGATACGCTGTGGTACTCGGGGGCGGTGTTTCTGAACGCAGCCTTGGATCGGGACGACTCCTTAACGCCCTACCACGCCGGCCGCTATTGTGCGACACCCGCGCTCCGCTGGAATTGCAAATGCCGAAATGTCGGCGGCGAGTCGCGGAAAGGCGCGTCGCCCGAAACGGCGCGCCGCGTAAGCGAGCTAATTTCACGAGGAGCGTCCGTATTTTCGCGGGTGCCGGGCGTGGGGAAAATGATTAGATAATTGGACATTACGCAGCGCGGCACCGAGACAATTACGACACCGCTGTAAATCGGACGCGATAATTCTCGGGGGGGGGGGGGGAATATATTATTACGAGGAATTGCGTCATGCTGCAATTTGTTGCGCGAACCTACGCGGAGAGGATGTTCTTTCAAAGTTTAGAGGAAAGTCCCCTGTCATTATAAAACAGGATCCTAATATGGGATAGTGGGGAGTTTCTGTTAAATTAATAGGCATCGTCAGTCGATTCCATCATGAATTGATTGCACTTGAAAAGGGCCAAAACACATGGCCGAAACGTGCGAATAAAGGAAGTTTCCTGTTGCCAGTTGTGTCGGATTATTCAACCTATTTGGAAAATTCATTGTTAGATTTTGTAATCGTTGCGAGAAACGACTTGAGATTGAATTTGGGTGTCGAAAACCTGCTGTCTCATATTAGAAACCTATCTCATAATAGGGGACATTCCTCTACCTTGAAAGTCACGCGACCGAGGGACAACGTGGCACTTTGGGAAACTTTATTGCGAGAGCCTTTTTGAAATTTTACTACTCTCTAAAAGTCAAATCGGTGGATTTTCACTGAAAACAGTGAAACAGTCGCTGATTTTCAGTTATAAGTATACCACTGCGATTTTCAGTGGTATATTTATAACTGCAAATCAGGGAATATTCACTGTTTTCAGTGACAATCCACTGATTGACTTTTAGAGAGTAGTGAAATGTACACTGATTGTGAGTATAGTATTACTAAAATGTACGGTAAAATTTCAGAAAATTCTCATAAAACTGTTCGAAATGCCGCGTTGTCCCACGATTTTCAGGATAAATTTTAAGAGAAACTTCTCTCCGCGTGAGAGAATCGGTCTAAAAGACTTATTACACGGTCGTACAATTTCGTATAATACAAATTACCAAGGGGTCTGCCGCACTCTGTAATGTACAAATTTTTGGCAATAAACGGCACCAACGAGGCAATAACTCAGGTAATATTGGAAATAAGTTTCGCCTGACAAAAAACTTCATAATCCCGAACTGTTCTAAACGAAGCAAGTACTGATCTGCATACACGATGTGAGATATAAAGATAATAACTGCAGAAAAATGGCCATTTTCGTTGTACACTGTTGCGAGGTGCGATAAACCCCTTGCGAACTACGCGTCGCGCTACCGGGTGACGAACGGAAGCCGGACGGACGCGTATATTTCTACGCTTTTAAAGATAACTCGAGCTAACGAGCGAGTCTTAACGACAGTCGTGCGATAATCGTTAATTAACCACGGCCGTCCGTCTCCCCCGTGTCCGCTCAGCACTTTTGTCCCGCGGCTCGCCGTCCAATATCTCACCAGACGAAACGTACGTCCGTTTTTACCATCTTCGGACGCCGCCGAGAGAGAGAGAGAAAAAGAGAGAGAGAGAGAGAGAGAGAGAGAGAGAGAGAGAGAGAGAGAGAGGTAAAAAAAGGGCAAAGGACTCTCTCTCTCTCTCTATATGTCATCGGAATTCCTCCTAGGGGCCGGGAAATGGCTCTCATCTTCGATGGCTTCCTGCCCTATGACAAAAAGAACGCGCTCGCGCGCAGGTCTCCCGTCGTCCCTGCCGTTCCCTTTGCATCCGTCGTCATCCCCTCACCTCCTCCCCCGGGCGCTTTTGTTCCCGTGGTGCGTCGCGACGCACTCGAGACGCGACCAGCGGAATGCGGATCGTTTCGCCGCTCGAGGCCGGAAGTCGGGGACGCGGGGAGGACGCGCGTCGCGTTCCGCTCGCGGTGTTAATCCGCGCTAAACGCGACGTGCGAGCGGGCGATGATTCCCGGAGCCGTTAATCGCGACGGCGAGATAAGTGGTTCGACATTTTTCACGCCGACGATGAAAGATGAAGATTGATGGATGGATACGCGGGTGGGATTTATGCGGAACGGGGTTGGGGGTGGACTCTCCCGGGAGGGAAGGGAGGGAATTAATTCAGGGATCTCGTAACCGTCTCTCGCACACGCGTCTCCGGAATTATTTGATTCGCGAATATTAATTACGGAAATGTAGCCCCACTGGCGGGGCATATAATATAATATAGCATAAATCCGTAGCGCCGAATCGTTTTGCGATTTTCCACGCGCTTTTTCTTCCTTTTTCACAACGAGCGTGCTGTACGCGGGCTTTCATTGCGACGCGCGCAAGAGGCACAGGCATTTCGCAATTATGGGTCTCGACAATGGATATTATTTCATAATATAGCGCGAAATATCGTACTATACACGGAAAGAGCCGGCTAAGGCAAAAATAACTAAAATTAAAATGTTACCGTATAAATAGTAGGGGCATACATTGTTTTGCGGTGCAGCATTCACTAACAGCGAATTCGGTTGGTTGCACTAGTGCGCACTGAGTGCACACTAAGCCTTGTTTCCAGTCAATTCTTATATCTAAAGATCGTCTTAAGTACCTCTTGCAATATTTCTTATCCAGAAAAATGGCCGGTGCAACGTTTACACCGATCATTTTTTTACTAAATACTCTTGAACATGACGAAGTTAAATAT